TGGAGCGGTGGCTCAGCAGTTAGCAGCACTGGCTGCTCTTCCAGAGGACCTGGGTTAGAGTCCCAGTGTCCACATGAGAACTCACAACCATCCCATCTACTGACTCTGCTTCCAGCGAACCCAGCGCCCTCTTCTGACCTCTGTGAGCATTGCATGCACACGGTGCCCAGACAAACATGCAGGCAAAACACTCCTACAAATTCATTTTTTAATTAAATAACATTTGAGTAGGACATGGAGGCACATACCTTTAACCCCAGTACTTGGAAGGCAGAGGCAGGCAGACCTGTGTGTGTGTGTGTGTGTTCAAGGCTAGCCTGGACTACAGAGAGAGTTCCAGGTTAACCAGGGGGTGGGATTTTTTTTTTAAATGTGTGTGCTCTGGCTAGGAGCCAGGTACAATTTAGTTTAAAAAATATATAAACATTTGCACATACATGAATACCCCCACACAATAGGAAAAGCTTCTTTGAGAATATAAAGATAGCTCACCTTACAACGGGAGGGGGAGGCCACAGGGGCCAACACACTCAACTGTAAGGAGATGCTGAGGAAATCCAGACCTACTGTCGCCAAGGATCCTGCACCAAGGAGCAGTGAGACCAACCCCTAGGAGAGTGCCAGAACCATGGTGCCTTTCCTCCACGGGACACATACCCCTAGCCCAGAAGAGTGCACACTCGGCCACTTCTGTGTGCCGCAGCTCTGTTTCCTGCCCCAGGAAGGACATGGCTCTGGTTCTGGGACAGTGCCCTCTCTGTTCCACACACGCTGGTCCACCGCATGAGTATGTGGGCAAGTCCCCATCTGCAACTCCGCCAAAGGGAAAACTCAGTGCTCACTCACTTCCGTAAGCTGGGGACAGTGGGGACACCTTCCCTGGAGGATGGCTCTGAAGGGCACACAGCCAACAGTGGATATGGATCCGAAAAGCCCTGGCACTTGAATGGCCGTGACACCTCCCCACTAGAGGTGAAGACGATACCGAGGGAGGGGAAGGAAGCCATCATCCAGGCTTGGAAGAGATGTTCAAGACGGTCACTCAGACTCCTAACATTCCTTCCTCTGCCCCGTCCCTGGCCTCTGAGGCCCATGTCAAGCAGTACCCTGGGCAGACGTGCTACAAGTGTCCCACCACCAAGATTTCCCTTCTCTACAAAGCTGGGCCAGCAGGGACTGCCGGTTGCCTAGGGATACCCATCAGCCGAGAGGGGACCAAGTCACACTCTGGGCTGTGGCTAAGGAAGTGGAGGCTGGAAGAGAAAAGGGGAACCAAGCTGTACCATATACGGGCTCCTTCCCTCCCAGCCTTCCCCACAGAGCGGTCTGCTCATTCCCTACTTGCCAGGGTTTCTACTCAAATCTTACCTTATTCCAGTTGCCCCCATGCTGGTGCAGAATGCTAGGTCACCCTCTTCCTGCCCTGGGCACCCCCACTCCTATGTCCCTACAACACAAGTCACCATCTGACATGCTATTCCTGGACGTTGTCATCTGCCTCTCCTTTTCAAGCTCCAAGAACATTTTGTTTGCAGAATCACCACCATTTAGAACACTCACTGCGGCACAGATAGATTCTTAGGTTCTTTTTTTTTTTTTCTTTCTTTTTTTTAGAAATTTCTTTGTTGTTTTGTATTTTTGAGACAGGGCCTGTGTGTTTCTGGCTGACCTGGAACTCACTATGTAAGACAGGATTGCCTCAAAATCAGAAATCTGCCGGCCTCTGCCTCCAGAATGCTAGGATTACAGGTGTGTACCACCACACTGGACACAGATTTATGGGCCAGGATGCACATATACCTATGTACCCACAGAGGCCAGATAAGGGCAAACTCTGTATTTGAGTATTTGGTGCTCTGTTGTATCGTTTCCCCATGTACAGGGATAACTAGTGTAGTACACACATCTAACACAGATAACAATGAGTCCCACACTACCGGTGAAAAACCAAGGCAGAGAAGCTGCAGAGCTTGTCCAAGACTAGTAAGTGCAGGTGTGAGCCCAGGGCCTGGCTGTAGAGGCTCCAGTTCTGGACCTCAAGGTGCTGACAGTCCCAGAACAAAGGGGCAGAACTGGCAGGCCCCATCTCGCAGGGACCGGTGTTTCCCTAGGTCTTTTTCCTAGCAGCAGCAAGGGTTTTCCCCACACCCTGGTTTCTCTGTCTTCCCATCATTCTATGAATCCTGAGCTCAGAACTGATCTTTTTGTTCTTGGGAGACAGAACTGCACTATGCTGCCCAGGCCAGCCTCAAACTTGAGATCCTCCCGCCTCTACTGAGATTATAGGTGCCACCACACTTGGCCCCAGAACCCACTTATTTAACATTTTTAAAAATAATTTATTTTTATTTTATTTGCATTGATGTTTTGGCTGCACATATGTCTGTCTGAGGGTATCAGATCCCCTGGAACTGCAGTTACAAACAGTTGTAAGCCACTATGTGGGTGCTGGGAATTGAACTCAGGTTCTCTGGAAGAGCAATCAGTGTTAACTGCTGAGCCATCTCTCCACCCCCCTAACATTTTTATTTTATGTGTACGTTTGCCTGCAGGTATGTATGAACATGTGTGTGTATTGCAAGAGGCCACTGGGTCTCCTGGAACTGAAGTTACAGATGGTTGTGAGCTGCCAGGTGGGTTCTGGGAACTGAACCTGGGTCATCTACAAGAGCATCAGTGCTCTTAAGTGCTGAACCATCTCTCCAGCCCAGAATCCACTGCTTGGATGGATTCTACTCCACAGCTCTCAGAGTCTCTTGCACGAGGCATGGCCTTTGCTATGGTGCCCCATGTGTTTGCCTTTCCTGGTTTTGTCCCCGTCTGCAACTAAAAAACAACGTTCCTATGAACCACACCCTACCCATGCTACACAGGCCCCCATGCCACCCAGAGTTCCTTCAGGTATTGGAGGTATGGCTCATGTGACTAGGAAATACAGGCATACCAGGCACCTGATGGGACTGACTGAGGTGATCCGATGTCCTCCGGCTCCAGTGGCTGCACCATTCTCATTCTCAACCCCGGGAGTGGGCAAAGTTCCCAGCGGCTCCCAGTTCCCCTTCTACCAGCCTCACCAGCTCAGGTGTGCCGAGAGCAGTCACCATAGCCAGAATATGGCACCGACTGACCAGGCTGCACCATGCCCGTTCATGCCCATTCAATCCCAGAAATGGGGTCAGGTGCCCACACCTCAGGCTGGGCTGGAGGAGTCACAGCACTATATCCAAAGTGGAAGTGGAGGAAAGGAGGACAGCACCCTTGAAGGTCTGTCCCAGCACCCAGCCATTTTCCCTAAACCCCACCCTGGCCTGTCTTCCCCACACGGCACAGGTGACTTTGCATCCTGATTTTCAAAGTCTTTTTTGCAGTGCCAGAGATCTCACCCAAGGTTTTGTGAGTGTTAGGCAAGGGCCTCTTATCCCACTCCACACCTTTGCCATTTTTTTTTTTTTGTTTTTTTTTGTTTTTTTTGAGACAGGGTTTCTCTGTGTAGCTTTGCGCCTTTCCTGGAACTCACTTTGTAGACCAGGCTGGCCTGGAACTCACGGAGATCCGCCTGGCTCTGCCTCCCGAGTGCTGGGATTAAAGGCGTGCGCCACCACCTCCCGGCACCTTTTGCCATCTTAAAAAGCAGGGGGCTGGAGACATGGCTCAGCATTCCCTTCCAAATGACCAGGGTTCAGACTCCCAGGACCCACAAGGTGGCTGGCAACCATCTGAAACTAGTTCCAGGGGATTCAGTGTCCTCTTCTGGCCTCTGTTCATGCCAGGCACACATGTAGTGCACAACACAGGCATTATATTTTATGCACCCATACGCATACATTTTACAGAGAAAAAGTAAACATACCCTGCTTTCTTCTAGTCCCTTCTCAGCCCCAGCATGGCCTCAGCTCTCCTCTCCCTCAATAGCTACACAGCAGGTGTGCAAAGACTCCCCTCTTGGGGATACTTCCTTGTCCAAAGTGTGACAACTGTCCTCTCTTCCACCAGACCATTTGTGTAGATAGCTCAGGGTGTGGCAGCTCTTGTCTGGTGGCCTTCCCTTCCAAGTTCATACACCTGTCTCTAGACGTCCATGTCAACGTGACCAACCCACATTCCTCAGTGACCTCAAGAGCACCCCAAATTCATCAGAGCCAAACTTGAGATCTTCAAACCAAATCTTGTCTTTTTCTCTCATACCCCTCAGCTAGGAAAAGGTCCCACCCTTGCCAAAGAGCCAGAGAAAACGCTAAGAGGTGCTTACCAATGCCCTCCTTCAGCCCTCTGCGGTCTGTCTGCAGGCCGAAGGTCAGACAGGCCCGGGCCTCCCTACTGGAGCCACCACCCTCCTCCTCTCCCACCCCAGCACGTCCCCCAGACCCCCTGACTCTCTCCACTTGGAAGAAGCCAGCGAGCTTGTTCCGACAGACCTTGAGGAACCCCACGTGGCCACCATCTCCTCCCGCCCAGCCTGCTCAGAAACAGGTGCGCGGACTGCCCGGCTCACAGCTGCTCACAGCCCTGCGAGCCATCTTTCCTCCCTGTCCTTCACTGCGCTGACTGGAGCGCTCCAGAGTTTTCAAGTCCCAGTCTCAGTACTGATCCCATCTGTCCCTTCTAAGCAGCCCAGAGAAGGGCAGAAGGCTGCCCAAGGTGGCACAGCACATGGGGTTAACCTGCAGCACGTCCAGCACGTGGTAGCTCCATTCCTAGACCATCTTCCTCTCCTCAGTGCTCCCGACAGTACCCCAGACTCCCCTTTCCACCCAGTCACTGGCTGGTCCACTGCCCTTCCCCGCCTCCACGTGGGGAGGGAAGTAGGTGGGCAGTGGGGACACATGTCTTTAATCTCAATACTTGGGAGGCAGAGGCAAGTGGATGGCCTGGTCTACAGAGTGAGTTCCGGGACAGCCAGGACTGTTACACACAGAAACCTTGTCTCGAAGAAAACATAAATAAATAAAGAATGCAGCCACAAATCCCAGGACACAGACTGAAAAGAAACCAAAATCCTCTTTTTCTTTCTTTCTTTCTTTTTTTTTTTTTAATAAATTTAAGAACAATTCCATCTTTGTTTTCTCCCCAGAGCAGCTAATACTAACTAAAGGGGTACATGGCCTGGGGTAAGGGGCAGTGGGCGCTAGGAGTCATAGTCTTCTTCATCCTCTGCCTCGGGTGCTGAGGGGCCAGGGGGCGCGGGGGGCAAGGGCAGAGGAGAGGTGAAGGGCATGAAGGGGGGTGGAGGGCTGCAGGATAGAAAACGGAGAAAATCAGGGCATGGTACTGTGCCTTGCCCCCCCACAGGCCCAACTGCCCTCCTCCAGAGGCAGACGTGGTACAAGCCCCCCTAGCAGAGAAGGGCCCCGAGAGTACTGTCCAGGTTCTCTCCCCAACCAGGACAGTCTCTTGTGGTCAAGGTCCCCTCCCACTCCTTAAGTCAGTCACCACCAACCACCAACCACCACCACCAAGCAGCTAGGGAAGTCAAACTGGCTCTGAGGAGTTTGGCATGCCCCATCTGGTGCCCCTGGGCTGCGTACCTCTGAAAGTGGGTAGGGGGGTGACTGGCTTGGGGTGGAGGCTGTGGTACCTCTTCTTCCCCGTCAGTGTCTGTGTCCTCAGACTCATCCTAGAGCGCACCAAGGGTCAGGGTTAATGGGGGAAGGCCTGGGCCCAGCACTGGGACGCCCAGACCCCTTGGGGAGCAGAGATAGGCCCGTCAGAATTTACACATGGAGACAGAGGTACAAGAGATCGGAGATAAGGGTACGTGCAGGCCTCCGGGCAGCGTGGCCCAGGGCAGGCCACCTTTCCCATCGGGGCGCTGGCCTCACTCACCTCCTGTTCTGAGTCTGTCCCAGACAGCTTCTTGTCTTTGCCTTTGCTGCCGGTGCCTCCATTCTTCCTTCCACTGCTGCCCGGCTTCCGGCCCCTTCGGGAAGGTACAGTCCATCTGCCCAGAGGACTCCTCCTCCTGTTCACCCCCCAGCCACCCCCGACCCTGTGGCCTTGGCCTTCCCCACCTAGATACCTGGTCTTGGCTACCCACCTTCGAGGACCCTTGTCCCCATCCATGTGGTTATCCTCCCCATCCCCCTGCATGTCGGGCACGGATGCCACCAAGTCTTTCAAGAAGTCAAATTGCTGCTCCAGCTCAATGCACTGCTTCCTGGAAGAAGCGGGAGAGGAGGGCGTTCAAAGGGAACACACTTACGGAAGGACAGAAAACAGCTTTTTTCGTGTCATGCTACTGGGAGATGAGAAACACCCCTCCCTCCCCACTTCCACCCGGCCTCGAGGGCTTGGCTCTAGTTATTCCCTCCACCTGGAACACCTAATCCCTCCTACCTCGGCCCCAACCCACCCGACTGGCTCCAACTCCCTCAGACTCCCACCACTGCCCCCGTCCGGACGCTGCCTCCTCGGCCGCCCGCCCCAGCTCTGCAGCCACTCACAGGTGGGACGTGGTCATGGTTTTGGCATTTCGAGACTGGGTCACCTGGCAAGCCTTCTTCAACAGCGACTCCAGGAAGAGCTCAAGCGCCCGGGCTGAGGGGCGTCAAGGAGAATCGGAAGCGGGGAGTGCCGAAGTCCCGCCCCACGCCCCTCAGCCCCGCCAGCCCCCCAGAAGGATACAGATGATGACAGGCACAGCGGCCGCCACCTTCCCAATCTCCTCGTCCGTCTGCATGATCTTCTTGATCCGCGCCTGCCGAAGGAAGGAGGCAGAGCTCGGACGCCGGGGCCCGCGTCCCTGCAGGCGGGCTGGGGGCAGCCGGGGGGGTCTCCCGAGAGAAGGGGGCGGGAGGCGCCGAGCCACTAGGGCATGGAAGGGGGCGGGGCGTCAGGCCGCGGACACCTAAAGGCACCCGCCCCCCCACCGGCAGGACCTGGGCCCGAGCCTCCCGGGAGCCCGACCCGCTGAGGCCCAGCTCGGCCACGTGCTCACCGGCGGAAACCGCGCGTTGTACTTCTTCTTCTTGCTTGGCATCTCGGGGCCTCTGCCGCCGCGCCGGG